TATGGTTCTTTCGGTAAAGTCACGTAGGTGAAAAAAAAAATTAAAAAAATGAAAATTCTTCTTCCTAGCGTTGTTCCCGCTGTGGCGCAGGGTCCGCTTTTCGGCAGTCTTCTCCATTTGGCTCGGTCCAGGGCATCTTCGGGGGATGCGTTGACTGTCTTCATGTCTTCCTTTATTCGATCCATCCATCGCTTCTTCGGACGTCCGCGTGGACGGCGGCCCTCTGGCTCAATACGCATGGCAGTCTTGGCCACTGATGACTCTTCACTTCGCATCACATGGCCGTACCACCGAAGCCTTGCCTCAAGCATCTTGTCCGCAATGGGGGCCACACCAAGTCGCTTCCGAACGTCTTCGTTCATGACACGATCCCATCGAGTCAGTCCAAGGCTCCATCTGAGCATCCTCATTTCCATGGTATGGAGGGCTTGTTCGTGTACAGTTGTGGCTGGCCAGCACTCGGATCCATAGAGTGCCACCGGTCGGACGATGGTCTTGTAAATTTTTCCCTTCAGCCTATCCGGCATTTTCCGATCACAGAGGACTCCGGTGACTTGCCTCCACTTCATCCATGCCGCATTGACTCGTGACCTCACATCAGTCGTGATGCTTCCATCTGAGCTGATGGTGGAGCCCAGGTACTTGAAGTCCGTCACTTTCTTCAGATCTTCTCCGTCAATGCTGATGGTGCCATCGGTTTGGAGGCCACACTCCATATACTCCGTCTTTTTGATGTTGAACCTCATCCCGTTTTCGTCCAAACGTTCCTTCCACAGGCGCGTTTGTCTTTCCACATCTCCTCTCTCTTCATCTGAGAGTAGGACGTCATCCACATAGAGAATTGACCATGGAAGGGGCGTGTGCAGGTCGGCAGTGATCGTGTCCATGCACAGGATAAACAGGAGTGGTGACAGGGCCGATCCTTGGTGCACTCCAACGCTGATGGGAAATGGCGGTGATAAGCCCACTGCACACCTGACTGCACTGGTGACGTTCTTGTATAGGAGTTGCACCCAATGCACGTAGGTTTCAGGGACTCCATGGGATCGAAGCGAGTGCCAGATGAGGTCGTGGGGGACCCTGTCAAATGCATTTTCAAGGTCAAGGAACGACACGTGCACAGCTTTGTTCTTCTCTGTGCTTCCCGAAACGTGATTTAACTAAATTAAATCACGTTTCGGAAGCAGCACAAGCTGCAGCCACAGCAAAACATAATTTGCTGGAGTGGACAAGAGCTGCTCGTAACAAGATATTATATAAGGCACGAGGGGGGGAGGGGAGCCAGGGGGGCGGGGGTGTGGAGGGGTGGGGTTGAGTGCCACCAACCAATCATTCACCAACGGCCGATGAGAACAATGCCGGAGCTGGGAGAGGTTCTGGGGACGGGAGGTGGGTGCGGAGTAGGGAGGGGAGAGTGGGGGGAAACGACATCGCCGATGTGACACAATGCCGGCGTGGTGCACTGAGTGGTGTGGGGGGGGGGGGGTAGAGTGTTGAAGAGACTGGAGATACGGGTATGAAATAAACTAAAGGAAGACTAAGATTTTACCTGGTTGATAACATCCTTCCAATGATTGCTCAATTTTAATCCATCTTCTCGGTTGAAGTTATGTCTATGTTTGTATATCTGGATGGCTTCATAGACAAATCTCTGGTGGTATCCAGACGGCTTGCAGAGCACTTTGGTGTCGGAGAAAACAATATCATGAGAGCTGACCGCGTTGTAGCAGTGATCAGCCACAGTGGAAGAATTTGTCCTGCCGTGTTTCAAATCTGCCTTGTGCTCGCGAATATGGTATATGTGTCGTTTCGTTTCCCCAATGTAACAATCACCACAAATTCAACTCAGTTTGTAGATTCCAGGGTACGGCAAGTCAGGAATGACATCCTTTACGGATGGGATCAGCTCACGGATTTTGTGTATTGTACTGAATTGGACCTGGATCTTGTTTGTTTAAGATTTTGGAAATCTTTTTGGTACCGCCTATGTATGGCAGCGTGATGGTTTTGATCGGAGTCGCAGGAGGTTGTCTCTCTATGGTTGGAGAAACAGCTTTGCGGATAATCTGGTCCGAATATCCATTCATCTTTAGGGTCCAGTGTACATGTTCTAATTCACTGGTCAGATGGTGTTGGTCAGAAATGCAGTGGGCCCTATGGTGTAGTGTTTTGATGAGGGAATTATTCTGTGCCGGATGGTGGTGGGAATCAGGTTTCAAATAGGAATCTGTGGGTGGCCTTCCTGTGGACAGAATGTCCCAAAGAGCCATTGGGCCTCCTCTCAAACAGAACATCCAAGAACGGTAGCTTGCCATCCTTCTCCACTTCCATGGTGAATTTTATTATTTTCACTTATGTGACTTTACCGAAAGAAGCAAAGAGGATGTATATACTTTTTCGATTTAAAGCTTTCGTGACGGCAGGGATTAATCTTCTTGGTTCTACGTGACTTTCCCGAAAGAATCAAGATGTATATACTGTTTGTAATCTTCACAGAATTGTTGCAAATCGGTGCCATTGCAAAGCACTGTTCATCAGTATTGTTGGTCATCTTCAAGAAAAGGAAAAACATTTTAAATGGCCTCTACCAGGGGTCGGCAACCTGGGCTCTTTAAGTACTGCTTCGTGACGTTATTCACGTTGCATTGCGGCTCTAAGAATATTGAGTTATTTACCGATTTCGCCAAAAAAAAGTCTCGTTATTTTGGTTGCCGACCACTGCCTGGCCTATACAATTGAAGTGTACATGTACTGTACCGCAACACATACTGTAATAACATCAACACGGTCTTTTCAACAATTTTCATTTACCTTGACAATATCTTGGAATCTTTTATTTTTGAGTGATAACCATTAGTCTTTCTAAGACACCATTAATTTTAAACCACGTAATACAAACAGCTGACACAACGGATATTATATTGCACCTGAATTTTAGAGGCAAAATATTGAAATATTCTTGTTGTGTCGTCTCCTCTCAATTGGCCTCCCATGTGCACGAGTTGTCTGTGCATGTGAACGCCTATTTTCCTTGGAAGGCTGATCATTTACAATAGCTCCACTCAAAAAGGACATGATGTTATTGTCGGAGTATTCCGTGGTGCGTTGACACATTAGGCACCTGTCAAGCTGATCCTTATGGGGCTTGGGGGATCAGGCCAGGAGGAACCGATGTGTGATTGATTGTGCCCGCGAAATGCCAGTCTCCGTGGGGCCCTACATTGTCTCCCGTGAGCTCGCTCCGAACAAGCAACACACCACACCAAATGCAGCGAGGCTCACAGTTCTACTTCCCAAGGACCTACAATCCAAAAAAAGCAAGCACGCAATGAAAAAAAGAACCACGACGACCTGAGATTGGTATACAGTACAGTACTTAAGAACTTTTTAGTGATGTCCCGCTCTAGTGAGCAATGAGACGGTGTTCATTTCGTTTACAGCCCTCAGCCAATGATGGAAATCAAAACGATCCGACGCACGGGGGGGAATTCTATCCATAAGACAGCCAGTTGACCTACCTACAAAGTGAAGATAATTTTATCAACCACATATGGATGATGGGTCGAGTCATCTCCTAAACGTGATTTAAACTTCGAACCTTCCGATTGCGAGCTGCTCACGCGACCATTGAGACACGTGAAATTTCGTGATAATCGTAAAGTTAACTATTAGGTCACTGTGAATTTATATAAAGGAACCCAATTGAAGCTGACAAAGTGTCGACATATCAATGTTCTAACTGGCTTGATTCGACAAAATATTTACAATATTACTCACGAGATATATAGCGCTATTATTACACCTCTTGACAATGGCGTTTATTACATTTGACGTCTTCTAACGCATCAGTTCATGTGTTGGGACTCGTGAAAGGCTGACATGGCATGAAATAAACATGCCTTGCGAAGACGACCATTACGAAAGCTGGAGCGAGGATTCATGAAGAGTAAGTTCCATTGTTGCATCATGGGACCGTGGGGGTGGAAGGTCAGAGGCCATTAGCCAGTATGGACAATTACAAAAGGTTAAAGATTCACAGCAGTTTTGATTGCAGAGCATTCTGAATGTTCGTGCCATTAACCAAGCGGTTATATTTTAAAATTACAAAAATAGTAGATGACATTCGTATGGAAAAGGTATTTCCCCTGACAGCAATCTCATTCCATAAACTCTGCCCGAGTTTGAAATTATAATCCACTTCAGACAAAAACAAAATGCATTTTTATAGTCTTGGTTCTTTCGATAAAGTCACGTAGAAGGGAAACAAACAATACAATTCTCACGTTTCGACTGCAACACAATAATTTTTTATTGTTTTACATTTTTATTATTTTATTGTTTTATTCATGAGAATAAGACTCGTGCTCAAAGTTGTACTCGTCTACCGCATCTCTCGTCAATAATATTACCTTTGTACAGATTTTGGAGCCCCCCCCCCCCTTCCATGTGTAGTGAATGAACTCCATGACCATAAATACAACTGCCAGCTAAAATGTATCAAAATATCCCGCAAAATGTTTGACTTTTAAATATGCCAGTCATTGACAATGTTTGTTTGCACAAAAGATCTGATACTCAAGAGTAAGTTTCTTCCAGAAATGTAACAGGTCACAATTTTTACTTGAAATTTCAAAGCAAGCTTACAATACTTGGTAGACAATGCCTTGGTGTAAGAGGCATTTCAACGAGAGCACTGCCACCTCTTGGAATTTCTGCAGGGGGCAGCTGCTCAACGGATTCCGCTTGCTCACCAGTTAACACTTTGCAACAACACATTCTCCTGCGGAGAGAGCTGGTAGGAACGTCGGGTTGCTCGGTCAATGGCCTGCAGGGTCAACGGCGGCGTGGTGTATTCCGCAAATATGCCCGACTGAGGGCGAGCACAAGCCGGCGTGAGTAGGTTAAACGTTGAGTTTTATAAGGGCACCACAAGGTGACCAGCCCCTCCCTACTCAGCCCCACCCCCAACCTAGCCCCCTCCCTCCTCACCCAGCCCCTCCCTGCACGACGGACGGACACAATAATCCCGTGGGCTGGTGTAACCAGGAGGTTCCTACCAGTATAAGTAGTTCCATAAACAAAAAACTGTTTCAGGATCGCGTTACACTGTGGAACATGGATCATCTGCAGCCTCTGCATGCTGGGATTACCTCCCGAGCACAGCACGTAGATTACATGCTACATTCACATCTTGCATCTAAATAATCTGAACTACGACGTTGAAGAGGCACGTCATTTTAACCTCTCAACCAAAAATAAAAACTGTAATTGCAACGTCACGACAAGACTAATTGCCTTTAAAAGAATACATACGAAAAATCATTAACACTCCACAATGACGATTAAGCAAATGTAGAATTTTAAAATAAGCAGCAAATACAGTAATACAATTTTACATTGCTATAAGATGTTAACATTTAACTCCCTTGCTTGGCACAGAATAGGAAATGTATGGCAAATGCCCCCTTACCCACAAAAAACAAGATTTGGAAAAAACGAGTTGTCTCTTCAACTCTGTAAGCTAACAGGTAGTGTGTACATATTGCATATATAGGTAACGTGTTTGTGAGATAGTTTCAGCATCTATCACCATAAGTTAGAGCATAGTATAACAGCACTATGGTTTATAAATTTTAGCAGTGGAATGCATATAGTAGACATAAGAACAACTATTAAGTTATAAAAGCATCAATATGCGAGTGTTTGACCTCTTAGAATCGCTACAATGCGATACTTTTTCTTCAGTTTGGCAGTTTAAGAAAGCACAAATAAACTGTTTGCATACATAATTAGGCTACAACACCTTGGTGTGACTTTTGTTCTCATCGGCAAAACACATTGGTCACATTATTTATGTTTTTTTCCCTCTTTGGGTGATCACATTGTTCGCGAGACTGCCCAGTGAATGAAGGCGAGCGGAGAAGCGGTGCAGAGATGTACGTTTGAAACCGCAAGAGTGCCTCCCGGTTGTCGCGCACAAGTTTGAGACCATCAGTTGCCAGCACTGCTCCCGTGCCGCCCGCCTACAGGAAATAAGCAATCGATGCATTTAAAAACGGGTTAAACCAAAATGTCATTAGCATTTTAAATAATTTAAAAACAGGTCCAGTTTTGACATACAACTGACATGTGGAAACATGAAGTACAGCTTATACAATCGCATCGCTATTTTAAAATAGGCATTTAACGAGCTACTGTTCCTAATATTCGGTGAATTGTCAAGATTCGTGGCAACGATGAAATTCTGCGTTGTACAACTCTGGGGTTCTTCCACACATCAGGGGTGCAAGTACCAAATGGCTTATGCAAGTCTATGCGTTGCGAGTCCATTTCCAATTCCTTACGGGGATTACAAAAGCAGATTATGTGAAAATACATAGGGGGCAGAAATGCTAACACAGGATCTTAGTCAATTATTTGTACTTGCATATTGCAGCATGCAGGTGAACGTCAGTAATTACCCATTGTTGAATAGTTCTCATGTGAGTTATCATGCTTTCGTGCTGTAGCAAGATACATCATACATGTAAAGTTATCCTTAATAATATCCAGAATTATATATTAATTCATGTTTGAGGTGAACATTCTGGTAATGTGCAATTGTCTTTACTGTGAAGCAGTGAGGTTTAAAAAGCTGTCAGTAACTTGATGCATATATAGTATTAAGCCATGCCTATTATTTCGCTGTGAAATGAAGTATGGTACTTTTAAACATACTTTACCTGATTCTTCATTCTGGGATATATATAGGAATCAAATCACTGCCGAAGAAAGTATTGCCATTGGTTTCCATAAATAAACAATAACCGTGTGCGTGTGCAAATAATTCAATATGCAGTGTTCAAATACAGGGCATCTTCACCCACAAAAGCCACACCTCCACCATACCTTCTCCATCATCATCTCTTCTTGTATCCTCCACTAAAGCGTAGGATTACTAACATTATACGATCTTTTTTATATTAAAGACATTATATTAAATTCCAACCATACTCTCCCACTCACTTTGTGGTGTAATATCACCAAAATATTTCAATATTTCACAACAGTCAAATTATTACTTCATTGGTCATAACTGGATGGGTGTTAAACAACCCTTTTTCTGCATAGTATGTATGTGCCGCATTTTCACCGTTATTGTGTCTACATTATACGGCAGACTAAAATTAACATCTTATGACAGCTCCATTATTTGAAAGGCTCCATTCACCACCATCACCTCTCACGTTTCCAACAGAAAGCAACGTTTCGAGTGTCACTATTCCTTTAAAACACGTATTTGATTTCCTTTAACACAAAGCATATGGGGGATATGATGCATAAACCTGTCAAGCACATAAATTGGGTCTAAACATTTAATCACAACGTGTGGAGATTACAAACTTAGCACAATTTATCTTTGTTATGAATTTATATTTTTATTATCAATGTATGATGAAATTATTGTACTTGTTTTAATGGCTGTAACGTAAAGGATCAAGTAAAAATTTTCACTGAAGAAATAAAGTTAATTAGAACACCATATCACTGAAATAACCCATTCAGTTGATTTTTTGGTTACGCCACATGATACTACAATAACTATAACAGTGCTAACATAAACTATGAAACTAACATTATAGTATAATATTATACTCGTAACTGTTATAACCACAACAATATATTTCCTAACTACCATAACCCCAGAGGTTGAGGTGGACAGGGGCTGATGATAATTGTGATGGATGGGGACAAAATTACACAAAGCTGACTGACCAGCAGTGGATATATCCTTGGTGATGATTATGCACTTCAGTTATCTACTTTGAGATAAACTTTGCTCAAACGTGCGATTCCTTGAAAAGTACATGGCTGTCATGACACCAAATGTGTGCATTATTTGCTCTATACCACACCTCTCATCCTCTTCAATGCAATCATCAAACGACTTGGAGACGTTCTTGAGGTTGCGTATCCCACTGGCCACATGGTCAAGCTCTTGTTGGAATCGCCGAGGAGTCATGAAATTGCCCCTTAAAAAAACACACACACAAAAGTGCCAATGACACATAGGCTTTCGCGACCAATATTATTCGTAATAAAGGTTTTTGTTGGGGTTAGATAGCCTAAGTATAAATGTGCCATTAACCCGCCACCACCTGACACAGCCAACCAGTAAGGTTTGTCACGTAAACAAAATGTACCAAATTAGTTACTACTTCAGCCCACTGGTGTGTTGGAGAGTAAATCCACATTTACAATTTGAGTACTGTGACATTTCGCTGGTAATTACCAGCTGCCCATGAGCATGCTTGTTTTTGAAAAAGGAGTTAGCAACAATGACATCCCAAATGAGCCACTCTTTCAGAATGTAACAAGTACTTGTAGAAATTACCATTATCCCCCATTGCTTGAGCAATAATTTGTATTTTTCATAGTGTGGACTTTATAACACTTTGATAAATTATACCAAAGCATTTAGTGCAGTCTCCATCAATGCCGGCCAGGAGGCTCCGTGGTGGCAAGAAGTTCGCAATTGGATGGTTGTCAATTCAAATCAGAGTTGGCAGACTGACTCGGCCCAGCCTCCCGCTAGGGAGATGAGTACCACTTTATGGTGAAGTCATCAGTGGTTACCATATGGATAGGTTCGCCACCACTCGAGGAATCTGGAATTTCCACCACTGGTTCAAGTCTGTCAATATGAGATAAGCACCACCTCAATGTTCATTTGAGTAGGAGACCACATTTACTCGGACTTTGATTAAGTACCCAAAAGTTTTAGTCAAATATCCCACGAGACCTTGATGCTTCTGTAGTGGTGATACGCGCTGGGATTAGGGATCGTATGCCAGCGCGTAATGATTGGCTGTGTATGTGGTGACGCGCGCTGACGGTGGAGGATCAGGGGTCAGCGCGGGGTCGTGGGTTACGGGGTACTGATTGGCTGTGGGCCGGTGATGCGCGGAGAGGGAATGACCGGGTGGCAGCGCGGTGTGATTGGCGGAGTGGTGTTAACACGCGCTGGGGAAAACGGATCGTAGAGAGAGTGCGTCGTGATTGGTTCACTAAGGAGCGATGCTCACGTCGACGTCCGCATCAGCTCCGTCTCTCGTGAGCAGGGGCTATAAAAGGGGATGCACACAGGCGTAAGGGCAGTATGTAACCAGCGAAGAATGAAGACGGGGATGAAGACATAGGGCCCTGTGGTACCTAGTCCCGCTGTCCTAACGGGACCGGGACTCTGTGTAACCCAGAGGCGAGTGTAGTGTGTAGCCATAGGCATAGAGTCTGCACGAGCCGAACGTATTGTGTGTAGCCAGAGGCATAGGGTCTACACGAGTCAAATGTATTGTGTGTAGCCAGAGGCATAGGGTCTACACGAGTCAAGTGTATTGTGTGTAGCCAGAAGCATAGAGTCTACACGAGTTAAGTGGAGTGTATAGTCCAAAGGATAGAGACCACCCGTTGTATTGTGACACGTCAAGATTTAATAAAAGTGTGTTACCCGTCAAGAAGTTCCTGCCGTCAATTCCAATACTTCACTTCCATTGACCAACCATGGCCAATTGCTTTTTGTGCGACAGTACCTTCGAGCAAGGATACTTCTTTTCACCGACGAACCAACAGGAGAGCAGTAGGGACTGCGCAATGCAGCTGCCCGGATGGGTCGCTGGCTCACACCAAGCCCTTGGTCCGCCTTGCGAGAGGATAGGCGGCCTTGCCGGGGTGAGCGGGTGGCCCTGCCCGTGCCCTTCCTGGGGCCGCGTCCTGCTGGGCTGCTTCTGCCTGCGGAGGTCTTGCATGGGCCCGCATGCAGTCCTCCCGGATTGCAGGCTGTGGGTGGACATGGGGAGTCTGGCTCCAGGGCATGAAAGTTCTTTCTGCCTTGATACGCCTTGTGCAGAGTCTGGTGTAAGTGACATGAAGCATACATTGTTAAGAATTAAAGCAGTGGTTACCATATTTATGGACCTGTTGGACCACTGTCCACCCTCATGGAGTTTTGTAAAAAAAATGAATCGTAAATGGAACTGTTTCACGGACCACAGATTGTGAACCAATGTATGTACCCAATGGCGGAGCCAGGATTTTCAGGTAGGTGGGCAACCCCTCCAGCAATGAAAAATGATAGGAGTTGCAAAGACTTGTCCCTTGCTTTTTATTCGAAGCGTGTGCGGCGATGGCGCAGTCATCCATCAAGGGTCGAATTTGAACCGCGTTGTGTGATCGGCATCGCGCTCGCTGAAGGTGAATGCCTTCAGGGAAGTCGTGTACTGCATACGCAACTGCGCACAAATATGAGTCACTTATAACTGCTTTGCCGTTACTTTTTGGCAATTATGGACTGAAGACTATTGTCCTCTCATCTCGGAGTCCCTGGCACAATAATATGCTACACAGTGGCAGTCGCAAAATGCCGATTTATTACTAATAAACCCCAATGATCCAATCGAAATTAGGGATTTCAATCGAATCATTGGGGGGGGGGGGCACATGCCACCCCACCCCACCGGCTCCGCCAGTCTATGTACCTTACTGAAAACAACCTCTAATATATTATACTCCATCCACGGAGTTTGGGAATGTTATGTCCGTCGTCTCGGTTGGTTTAATTGTAATGGAGTAAACGAGTGCAAGTCGGAGAGATGTGCACAACCTCAGTACAAATTAATACAGAAGTCATCAGTAAACAATGCAGGTTTTCTGAGTAATCATTCAAAAGCGACAGACTCCCCCCTCACCTGTCCATCGACAGGTAGAGTATGGTGGGGTAAAGTGTGGGCACGCGTATTTCCCTTCAAACACGCTTGGTCTTAGGTGCAAGAGTAGCTCCAATCCCCTCTAAACAAATCTTTATGGAGGCCCTTCCACCAGCAGTTGCGTGAGCAGTAATTGCACGTTCTAGATTTGAAGCTTTCGTGACTGCAAGGATTCATACTCTTAGGTTTTTTTGGTAAAGTCACGTAGGTAAAAATAAATAATAATAACAATAAATAAGAAATATATTTTTATGTATTATTTACTTTTATTATTTATTTTTACGTACGTGACTTTACCAAAAAAACCTAATAGTAGTAATTGCACGGCCATACACATGGGCGGAGTTTGGGGGGAGGGGGCAGTGCCCTCCCAAAACTGGACACATTTATATCTTTATTTTCAGTAGTTTACAACATAAAAATTAAATAAAGTATATTTACATGCACCCGCGATCCTGAGGGACAAAGCAAACCTCTGCACCCCCCAAAATATAAAAGTCAAACTCCGCCTATGCCCGGACCATTCCATTTAATACGTAAGATAACGGACGAATTGTACTGATAACACAAGCGACACACGTGTGACAACAACAGAGATGTGTATAGAGTAGCAGCAATGACAATAAGAGCGATGTGTATAGAGTAGCAGCAATGACAATAAGCGCGCAGGCGGCGAACCTGAGCGAGGCCCGCGAGGCCTCCTCCGCGCCCTCGCCGGGGCTCCGCGGCCGCGCTCTGCACGGGGCGAAGCGGCGTGCGGAGGGGCGCGGGGCTGCGAGGGCTGCGCCGGGTAACCTCCTCGGCCTCGGGCTCCTCCAGCACGCGGTGGCCGCCCCGCCATCCTCGCCATGCCCGTCGACCCGAACAAACCACCCCGACTCCCTGTAACGCGGACGACATCACGGAGCGTGGCCGACGACGACGCCGCTGCGTTGATCTCCCACCCGCAGTGCCGCGCCAACTCAAACCGTCGCCTTCCGCGTTTGAATTTCACGGCGGCACGCGATTGGTCGGCTCGTTTTCCACGCCCCCCTCTCTGTCCCGCACACGATTGGTCGGTTCGCTTTCCCCCCCTCTGCTGTCTCGCACACGATTGGTCGGTTCGCTTCCCCCCCCCTGCTGTCTCGCACACGATTGGTCGGTTCGCTTCCCCCCCCCCCCTGCTGTTTCGCACACGATTGGTCGGTTCGCTTCCCCCCCCCCAGCTGTCTCGCACACGATTGGTCGGTTCGCTTTCCTCCCCCCTGCTGTCTCGCACACGATTGGTTGACGGGATCCACGCCGTTCTCGGGAGAGCAGCTTTTGATTGGTTGGAGTTTTCTCTCCGACCCGGCAACAAGCGCCATTGGGTCGGCCAATTCAAAAACGACGTCGCACGCGATCGCAGGAGGAATCCGATAAGCTACCAAGCTCTGCTTCACAGATGTCCGGTCGTGGCGGGTCAGAACGTGACAACAAACAATACAAACACATGATAAAGTACGATAACATCGTACACTCAAATATTTGCCCCCCCCTCCATATATAATTTTCCCATATACAGTATTTTACCCATATCTGATTTGCCCATATATGGAAGATTTTCCCTTATCGTAATCGCTGTGTCGAATCGTTGCCAATCGACCCCCACGGATCGAGTAACGATGTGATTTGATTTGATTAATATCATCAGCAAGATCGGTGATTCGGTCGCGGTCCCATTTCATTGTTACCGCAGCGCCCCCTTGTCGTTTACAAACAGAAACGGCAAAGAAGTGATTGCGTGGCAATGGCAGCCATGGGGTCATCTTGGGTAACTTTATACTGGTAGGAACCCACTGGTTCCACCAGCCCACATGGGATTATTGTGTTCGTCCGTCGTGCAGGGAGGGGCTGGGTGGGGAGGGAGGGGCTGGGTGGGGAGGGTGGGGAAGGGCTGGGTGGGGACGGTGGGGAGGGGCTGGGTGGGAGGGGTGGGGCTGGGTGGGGAGGGGCTGGGTGAGGCTGGGTGGGGGGTGGGAGGGGTGGGGCTGGGTGGGAGGGGTGGGGCTGGGTGGGGAGGGGCTGGGTGGGGAGGGTGGGGCTGGGTGGGGGGTGGGAGGGGTGGGGCTGGGTGGGGAGGGGCTGGTCACCCCGTGGTGCCCTTATAAAACTCAACATTTAACCTATTCACGCCGGCTTGTGCCCGCCCTCACAGTTCGGCATATTTGCGGAATACACCACGCCGCTGTTGACCCTGGCCATTGACCGAGCAACCCAACGTTCCTACCAGCTCCCTCCGCAGGAATGTGTTAAGCACTGACACTTGTAAACAATAGTGACAGGACTTATACACTCGAAGAAGGGTTATTGCGCAGATTATTTATTTTAGGGTAGTGTTATTTTTGTTTCTCCTGGTCTTTCGGGGTTTCCCTCCACATTTGAGGTTATTTAGATGAATTTGCTGCTATAAATGTCAAAATGACGAGCCACTTTGTTGAGCGATAATTTGTGACCAGGTCGCTTCTTAAAAAGTTAGTTAATACCTCAGTGGGCTTTGCCTGGTCGGATGGGGATGGTTTAGTTGTATTTGTTTGTGTTTGGGTGATTTGTTTACCTTTCTTGTACGTTTTATAGGAGAGGAAGGACAAGATCAATGGGCTCGCATAATGTGCATGCATCATGTACGTTGACTTATTAATCCCCCTCCCCTACTTTGCGCAAAAAGAGGGCACAATTGTGGCCACCACATCCACGCCTCTATATAAGGAACGGAACAGGTGGACTTCTCCATAAATCTGGCTGTCGCCTGATAAAGCTGGTTGTGATTACCGGCGAAACGTCGTACTCAGATTGTAAATGTGGTTTGGCTTTCCAACACACCGGTGTTGCTGTATTAGTATACTACACTATACACTACACTCCTATACACTGCACTATACACTACACTACTATACTCTACACTATACACTACTATACACTACACTATACACTGCACTACTATACACTACTATACATTACACTATACACTAGACTACTGTACACTACACTATACACCACTACTACACACTAGTGCTGTACTAGTGACGAATTGGCATGTTCTGTTTACGTGACAACCCTTACTAGTCGGTTGTGTCGGGCGGTGGCGGGTTTAACGACACATTTAAATATTTACGTGATATAACCCAAAAAAACTCTATTATGGGTGTTGTATACTGTTTCTTATTCTTAGTTTTTTTCGGTAAAGTCACGTAGGTAAAAAATTAAAATTTATAAAAGTAAAATAAAAATAAAATAAAAATCACGACGTTTCGGAGGCAACACAAGCTTCCGTCTTCAGATGGAACCGTCACAGCACGATAGCTGTGACGTGCTGTGACGGTTCCACCTGAAGACGGAAGCTTGTGTTGCCTCCGAAACGTCGTGATTTTTATTTTATTTTTATTTTACTTTTATTAATTTTAATTTTTTACCTACGTGACTTTACCGAAAAAACCTAAGAATATGAATCCTTGCAGTCACGAAAGCTTCAAATCTAGAAATAAATACTGTTTCTTGTACTGGACATCTGTGAAAACGAGCTTTGTCGCTCATCGGATTCCTCCAGTATAAATAAGTATTTTTATTCTGATGTATTAAGTTTAAAAAAAGTATTTATTCACATTTTTCAAAGCATCGTACATTTCCAACAATATATATTTATAATTTCTTGAATTACATATTACACGCGTACTTTGTTTCAGAGTCTCTTGTGGGCATCTCACAAAGGATTGGTCTTGTGACTTTGTGGATATAAACTCGCTGGAGAGAGGGGGGGATGTGGCTGAAAAGGGGGCCGGGAGTTGCCCGTGTGGCAGCCGAGAGGATCCCGTCCGCTTGGCGTCTGGGGGGCATTTTTGGGGCTTATTGGATTGTTCTAGATTTGAAGTTTTCGTGACTGCAAGGATCCATACTCTTTGGTTCTTTCGGTAAAGTCACGTAGGTGAAAAATATCTAAGTAAATAAATTAAATCACGACGTTTCGATTGCAACACAAGCAATCATCATCAGGTGTGACAACCACAGGAAGAAAATGTTTTACTGAAGTGGGAGAGATGCTGGAGTTGAATTGGCCTGAAGTGAGGGCAAGGGGATCCCATCGTTTAAGTTTTGCGTCCAAGGTGATTGAGGGAGGCTAGCTGGTCAAGGTTGTTACAGGGCACAAGTGATGGGGGGGAGGGGCATGGAATTTCCTTGCACTCAGCATAGAACGTTTGTATGTAGATAGAGCATGCTGGTAATGAGATATACCCTGAGGTCTAATGCCACAGGAGTGTCAACTTCGATTCACGGGGATGAATAGAAGTTGAAGTTGTTTAAGTGTTCAGTGATGGTGGCGTAGAATTCCCCCCTGTCCGAGCAGGAGGAGAATGCGTGCTCCGATGTTTCAGTCGTTCCCTGAGGCCACCTGGGTCAATCCAGTGAGGTATCGCTTTCAACGTAGGTATTGTACCGTGCAACTATTTTTTTTAATTGAATGGTCTCCAGGGGGGAGGATCGAGAATGTTTTTTGAGGTTTTTGTGTGCATTGTGCACCGCTGCCAACGCAGCATCGCCAAACAATCGATTTAAACAAGTGTTGAAAGCAGCACTGACATTTAAACAAATGTGAATAACAACCACATACACTTGATATGTAACATTGAATGTTTATACTCTCTGGTTCTTTCGGTAACGTCACGTAGATAGAAAAAATAATAAAATAGCACGACGTTTCGGTGGCAACACAAGCGTCCGTCATCAGGTGAGAAAAAAAGATCAGCTGCTGTGGCTTTACATAGGCACGGGGGGGGTTTGTAGAGTCGTGGCTGCAGGAGTTCACGGGGGGAGAGGGACGAGGGTTGTCGCGTGCAGGGACGGGTGGGGGCTGGAGAAATCAGCATGTCCATGAGTCGTGAACTCCTGCAGCCACGACTCTGCAAAAACCCCCTTTCCTCCCGTGCCTATATAAAGCCACAACAGCAGATAATTCTTTCTCACCTGATGACGGACGCTTGTGTTGCCACCGAAACGTCGTGTTCTTTTTATTATTTCTTTTATCTACGTGACTTGACCGAAAGAACCAGAGGGTATGTATTCCTGCAGTCACGAAAGCTTCAAATCACGATGTTATGTTCAACGAAGCCGTATTCCAGTCCGTCCAGTAGGTGGCGACCTTGTCCCACGGTTTTAACATTAAATGCACATTATTAATTGGAAAAATGTAAACACGCACTAGTGTAATATGCAGCCTACAAGCACAAATAAAACATTCACCACCTAAATCGCCAGATTTGATTGTGCTTTAAAAAAAATCAGTTTTTATTTGTACAATACTGCGGATACAATCCTGTTTTTGCTATGCATTACAATGTGGATTTCATACAACCTTTAAATTGGACTTCATCTCAAGATTCAGAGGAAAAATGTATTGACCTTGGTATTTGAACAGGAGCGTGGAGTTAACAGCACATATGACAGGGGGCATTCTAAACAGTTCTGGCAGCACGGAAGAATGATCTACCTAACTGAGCAAGGTAGAGTTAAATCGTAGGCAGGGGTGAGTCCATGGAGGATCTTGAAAATGGTGAGTGCTATCTTGAAACTGATTTGGTCGGGAAGGGATTGGAGTACTGGTGTGTTGTATTTTTTGTTTATGGGTGAACCTGCGAAGCCTGGCAGTGGCATTTTAGTTGATATGGAGGATGGTTACTGATACACTTCCACTGACATTGGATTATTACTGGTAGGAACCTCCTGGTTACACCAGCCCACAGGGGATTATTGTGTCCGTCCGTCGTGCATCCAAAAATGGGAGGGGTGGGGCTGGGTGGAGAGGGGAGGGTGGGGAGGGGCTGGGTGGGAAGGGGCTGGGTGGGGAGGGTGGGGCTGGGAGGTGGAGGGTGGGGCTGGGTGGGGAGGGGCTGGTCACCCCGTGGTTCCCTTATAAAACTCAACGTTTAACCTACTCACGCCGGCTTGTGCCCGCCCT